AACCTGGAGCACTTCTCTTAACAGACGAAACTCTACGAGAGCACAGAAAAATTAAGCTGGGGCAGCCGCGCGTTCCTCTGACAAAGGGAGGGGAGTTGAACTCCGTGTACTCGGGAGTTTAAACAAATATTTCCAGATCGAAGCGGAGCGGAGGCATCGGAAAGCTGCAGCCCAGGCAGGAATGACCCAGCAAGGGGGAAAAGGGAAAGTCCTTCTCTTAACAGACGAAACTCTACGAGAGCACAGAAAAATTAAGCTGGGGCAGCCGCGCGTTCCTCTGACAAAGGGAGGGGAGTTGAACTCCGTGTACTCGGGAGTTTAAACAAATATTTCCAGATCGAAGCGGAGCGGAGGCATCGGAAAGCTGCAGCCCAGGCAGGAATGACCCAGCAAGGGGGAAAAGGGAAAGTCCTCCTCAATGCCCACCCCAGCTCTTCCTTCCCCACAACTCACCTCGCGGCAAAGTTGCGAACCCAGCGCCTTCCCGGCCACGTTGGTCCCCCCCGCCCCTACTCCGGCAGGCAGAGCTGGGTAAGAGAAGCCCGGAGCAGGTCTCCACTTCCACCCACAAATGCCTTTGATCTCGTGCAATCCCGGACTCGGGGAGAAAGCGGGAGGGGGGGAGCCGGTCCCGGGGCGCTGGGGCTGCAGAGAGCGCGCAGCTGCTGCACCTCTCCGGCTCGGGCCCTCCGAGCGCTGCCTGGCCTGCTGGGGATTCCCGCGGGCACCGCCGACCTGCCGCTGAAATTGACCCGTCTAGTCAGTTTCACAGGGCGCCTCATGGGAACTCTGAAAAGTCTCTTCCCCCAAGCCACCTCCCCTGCCCCCTCCCGCTCGCTCGGCCTCCCTGCAGGAAATCCCTCCCAGCCTCCTGTCCGTCCCTCCTGATTGGAAAAGCAAAGGGGGCTGCCCGCGCTGGGCAGGGCCAGGACTGCTGTCAATCAGGCTGATGCGGCTCCAGATTTGGACAAGGGAAGTGGGCGTGGAGAGTTCTACCTGAGCCCCGAGCGCAACAAGGGAGCACGTGCCCAGGTGTGCGCGCCCTGGGACCCGAACTTTCTTTCCCAGCCAGAACCTGGAAGTTCCAGAGAAGCTACCCGCCAGCCCTCAAGGACAGCCTTGTGTCTTGCCCTTCCAGCTGCAGGGGGCACAGGGCGGGTGGCTTCTCTGGGGGAGCAGGGAGGACTACACGGGCCGAGGTGGGAAGCGAAAATCGGTTCCTCTCTTTCCATGCAGCTCACGTCTCAGCTTTAAAACACCCGCTTTGAAAGCAATGCCGCCTGAGCGAAGTGTTGCAGCTTGTTAGTCACTGCTACTAGGCATCACCACCCCCCACACGTGTGAGATCTCAGCTCCCTCCCAGCGCTGGATTCTTCCCTCCGAGGTTTGCTGGGGCAGCTCCTTTCTTAAGTGCCACAACGAAGGAATAGTTTCCCTGCTTTGCAAATCTGTAACGCTGGGGTCCCTGGTGCATTTCAAACTCTGTAACCACCCATGCAGCCCCCTGCCCAGTGTGTGAAGCCCAGCGATATTCTCCTGTCCCACTATCCTCTCTGGATTTTGTGGGAACAGGAGGGTAGGCCCCATTCTCCTGACGCAGTCCCTTTAGTGCATGGATCGCTTGCACGGCTCAGACTCCCCAACCTCAGCCCACAATAAGCACTATGCAGGTGGGTCCTGCATAAAGGGGATTTAAGTGGGGTTCCATGGGGGTGCTGAGCGCCTTGCAGGATGGGGGCTTTTGACTGTAAGCACTATGCCTAATGAGCCGCCATTTTTGCAGAAGAGGCTCTTGCGCCAGAAAGAGCTGTCTACACTGCCCCTTCTTGCGCAAGAAAAACCCTCTTGCGCCATGCCGTTCTTCCTGAAAAATTATCGGTGTAGAGGCATTGCGCAAGAGGGTTTTTGTTGCGCAAGAAGGGGCAGTGTAGACAGCTCCTTCTGACGCAAGAGCCTCTTCTGCAAAAATGGTGGCTCATTAGGTATGCAAATGAGGCTCGGTGATATTCCACACTTAGCCTCATTTGCATATTTCTGGCACAAGAAGCCGCGAGTGTAGACATAGCCAAGGTGTCCTGTGTCACCCTAAAGATGAACACATTTATGTGGATATAAGCTTTCATGGGCAGAGCTAACTTCATCAGATGCAACTTGCCTTTGATCTTGTACAGACCTGGACTCAGAAGAGAAGAGGGAGGAAGGGAGCAAGTCTATAGGTGCTGGGAGTACATAAGGAACAGAGCTGTTGCAACTTTCCCAACTTTGGTCCTCAAAGCCTTGCCTGGCTTGCTAGGGGTTTCTGCGGGCACCATAGAACCTGCTGCTGAAATTGATCCATCTTGTCAGTTTCACATGTGCCTCCACACTAAATGCATGATGCATCTGATGAAGTGGGCTCCAGCCCTCAAACATTTATGCCCAAATAAATGTTAATCTTTAAGGTGACACAAAACTCTTCATTTTTTACTGAAACAGACAAACAGGGTTACCCAACTTAGAGAGGTTGCCTAATAAAGCTGGACAGCTTTCACTGCATGATACCACCGGATTATCAACAGCTAATCAGATTAAAACCCCTTATACATTGGCTTAATTCACTAAGGGCCCAACTCACAGCCCCTGTTGATTTTTGTGGGAGGCATAAATACTCAGCACTTCTCCAGCTCAGCACTCGAATAATGAGGAAAACAGCAGGGCTGGGTGATAAGGAAGAGTTGGAGTGCTAACATGCACCCTGTCTTTTCAGTTCGGACTAAAAAAGATTGTTATGCATATTCAGAAATTAGCAACGTCAACAGCTGCTATTTTGAAGCACGGACATTATAAGTAATCTTGCTAGGAAGTGACATGAAGTTAAAGGTCTTGTTATTCATTATGTGATTTTGTCAGAACTTGTAAAGCGCATTGACATTTATACTAATCCCCTGAATGTATGTAATACCTTTGTCCTTTTAAGGATCTTAATTAAGCTTCACAACACTCTGGGAAGCAGATAAGTTCACTTTGTAGATGGGAAACTAAGAGCTGGTCTACATACAGCTTTTGCACTAGTGTAACTACTTCCTTTAGGGATGTGACTTTCTATCAATACAATTACACTAATATGATCCCTAGCACAGATGCAGTTATACCAGTTTAATGGTACGTTAGAGTAGTAGTGTTTACTTCCACTCTCATACAGGAAGGCACTGCACTGGTATAACTACCTATGCATTGGAATAACTGTCTCCCCCAAAAAGAGGGTTGTGCCATCTTAATTATACAGGCAGGGTAAAAATGGTACAACTTGTATGTGAAGTCAAGTTCTAAGACATAGGAATCAAGGCCAACAATTGTAAAGTAGGGTGCCAATTAAGTACTTGGCCTGATTTTCAGCTGTACTGAGTCACTACAAGTCCCATTGATAGCTTTGAACATTAAACCACATACTTGGGCTCTTTACTTTATGTAACTAAGTTTGAAAATTTTGGCTTAAGTCACTTGCCTGAAGGCACAACACGAGTCTTGTGGCAGGTCTTGGTTTAGAAGACAGTGCGGTCTCTACTACTTATCAGTAAACAACCTTTTAACCCTGGGAAAGCTGATATTCTTCCCTTCTGATCATTAAGGGTATGTCTACACTACAGAGTTTTTTGGAAAAACAGCTGTTTTTCCAACAAAACTTGAGGAACATCCACATTGCAATTGCGTTCTTCCGTAAGAAAATCAAAAGAACAGAGGGTTTTTTTCCGACATTGGTAATCCTCATTCTACGAGGAAGAAGCCCTTTTGCGAAAGAGCTCTTTCACAAAAAGACGTGTGTGGATGGGGAAAGGGGAGTTCTTTCAGAAGAAGAGGAAAGAGAAAAAAGCACAGGTGCCCTGGTGGCCATTCCATCCATAGCAATCACAACTTACATGCGAGAGAGCATCCATTCAGTCTGGACGCTCTCTTTCGAAAAAGCAGATTGCTTTTCAATGCGCTTTTACAATGTGGATGCTCTCTTAGTAAGAACTGTTGGAGTCCAAGAATACCAAACTCTGATGTAGGTGCTTTGTAGCACAACAGTCGGAGGATCAGGATTGACTCATAGAACTGGAAGGAACTTGGAGATGGCATCAAGTCCAGTCCCCTGCACTCATGGTAGGAGCAAGCACCATCTCTAGACCATTCCTGACAGGTGTTTATCTATCCTGCTCTTAAATATCTCCAATTATGGAGATCTCACAATCTTCCAAGGCAATGTATCCCAGGGTTTAACTATCTTGACAGTTAGAAAGATTTTCCAGTGTCCAACCTAAACTTCCCTTGCTGCAGTTAAAGTCCATTGCTTGTTGTCCTACCACCAGAGGAGGAGAATTTTTCACCCTCCTCCTTGTAACAACCTTTAGGAACCGAAAACTATGATGTCCCCTCTAAGTCTTCTTTTTTCCAAACTAAACAAACCCATCTGTTTCAATCTGCCCTCGTAGGTCATGTTTTCTAGACCTTTAATTATTTTTGTTGCTCTTTTCTGGACTTTCTCCAATTTCTCCACATCTTCCCTAAAATGTGGAGCAATATTCCAGCCGAGATCTAATCAGCACAGAGTTGAGCAGAAGAATTACTTCTCATGTCTTGCTTACAACACTCCTGTTAATGCATCCCAGAATGATGTTTGTTTTGTCTGCAACAGTGTCACACTGTTGAGTCATATTTAGCTTGTGGTCCACTATGACCCCTAGATCCCTTTCTGCAGTACTCCTTCCTAGACAGTAGCTTCCCATTCTGTATGTGTGAAACTGATTGTTCCTTCCTAAGTGGAGCACTTTGCGTTTATCCTTGTTGAATTTCATCCTATTTACCTAAAACCATTTGTCCAGTTTGTCTAGATCATTTTAACCTGGACAAGGATGTCAGATTTATTTTCCCTGAATCCACAGTACAGAGTCCAAGAGGGATAATTACCAGTAAAGAAAATCCCTACACAAAATACCTCTCACTGCTAAATATCCCACACCACTAGAAGAGCTGTGTTTTGTCCAGCACTATCCTGTGAAACTGGGGAAGGGGTTCAGATCGGTCTAGAGCTGAGGGGAGGAGAAGGACAGTCTTGTCTGCCTGACTGATCACTCCCTCCCTCTACAGCACTTGCGCAGGCTCAAAGGGAGTCAGTCTGGGTCAGTGGGTCAGAGCTGAATGAACTCTACTGCTGCCTTTCTGGGGTGACTTTATGGGAAGGGACATACAGGAGTGCTGCTAAAAGCTCACCCCCAGCCCAAACGCCCTCACTTTTTCAGGGCCTGGTTTTCAAAGGTGCTGTGCACCTCCAGCTCCCATTGACTTCAGCTAGACCTGTGGGTCCTCAACGCCTTTCCAAATCCAAGCCAGTTCTGTGTCCATGGGATAGAATTGCTCATTCCATCACAAAGAGAAAACAGTTTCTTGCCACTTTAACCAGAAAGGACACTCTCTAAATGACTTAGCCACCTGCATTCTGCTACAAAGACCTTTTACATCTGCACTTGAAAGGGAATCCTCTGAACTGTCATTCATGTTAAAATTCGACACTTACCAACAAGGACTTAACAAGTCTTTGAACTTTCTCACCCATTACCAAGACAGTTTCCCCAATTATCACCTGTAATACCATTAACTCACAAACATCCCACTCTCCCTACCTTTAATATCAGCAATTCACAGACACTTACCTTCCTTCCTCCCCCTTCCCACCCCCCCGCATCCCCCTTCTGTTCTGCAATGTGATTTGTCCTTTTCATATTTGTTCATTTTTTTAAATTGTATCCTTTGGTATATATGGTTGTGACTACTTTCTTCCACTA